AATGATTTTGCTGCTTTATATTGTCAGGGAATGACATGGGATGAGCACGGCCAAATAACTGTCGCTGCGCACGGCTGTGTGCATGAGGGAGGTGAGGAGAGTGAAGAGGTGAAATCCTATGGATTACCTAATTTGCCGGGTGTCAAGGTCTACGAATATGCCAATGGGAAGGTTGAGATAATAAGTTCTGACTTCTACCTGTGGCGTGAACCCGGTGAGACACAGTTCACATGCCGGTGGATATGGAGGAACGGTTGTGCACCTGAACCTTTCTACTCTGCCAACCGTGGCGATTACAATCCCAAGCTCACCCAGAAAGAAGAGGAGGAGTTGGCTGCTGAGGTCAAGAAGTTGGTGCAGAATGGCTGGGTGAAGGAGTTTGATGATGAGGTCTATAATATCGTACCTTGGGTGCTAGTTCCACAACCCCATAAAACGACAACATTGAGGATGTGCCTAGATTTCCGGCTTTTGAATAAGTTCCTCGTGAATGACCCGATAAGAGATATGGTGAATTGTGTCGATACTCTTCACAAATGGCGATCTGTTACAAAAGGTTATACTTTGGATGTGACGAAGTGCTACTATACTGTGCGTATGTGTCCCTCGCTCTATAAGTACATGGTCGTCATGATCAACGGTGCACTGTTCGTAATGACAGTGTTACCGTTCGGTGTTTGCTTTGCACCGAAGGCCGTTACGGCAGTCATTACCTTTCTACTACAGGGTGTTGCCTCTCCTGTGTCGTCGTTCATCGACGATGTTATTATCGAGGAGGAGAATGATGTTGCCGTCCCAGTGGACGAACTAGGCCAGTTGCAGTATGATCCACCTGCTGTTGTTGCCGTTCGCAAGGCCTTAGCTAAGGGAAACATGTACTGTAAGCCGGCGCAGATTATCGGTGCGCCAAATAGTAGAGTTCTCGGTCTTGACTTATTCACCTGCCACGGTTCAGTGTGGTGGAGGCGACGACGAGATCAGAGCATCGATATAGACCTAGATGGAGCTGTCACCAAGCGTGATGTGGCTCGGTGGTGTGGGCGAATGGTTGGTCATGTCCCGATAGCTGGGTGGCTACGTCCACACGTTGCATTCTTGCTGCGTGCGGTTAGTCGTACGCCATGGGATGAAGATCTGGACGACTCTCTCCTTGATTTGGTGAGATATATATCAGAGAAGGTTAATGGAACTGGTGACCCAGCACAAGGAGTTTGGTTCTGTCCGAGCCCACGCGCAGGAGGCCCTACTGAGAGCAAGGACTATCACTGGCACATTTTTTCTGATGCATCTAACGCAGCCATAGGTGCTGTACTGGGCTATACCCTTGCTGATGGCCCGCTCATTGTTGTGCGTGATGCATCTTGGTTGCTCGACCGTCGAGCCCTTCTTCGACATGTCAATGTCAATGAGCTGTGTGGTGCGGCTCGTGC